TAAATTTGTGGCCTCTTCTTTAAAATTAATTGTTATCATATGCAATATATACATATGTACATGCATTTACTTCTATAAGTGTTACCTCTATCTGTTTTTTAGGGATGACCATTTGGCATTGGCCAACTGATTGGTGTGCTCTTTGCTGGAGAAAGCTACCTCTTCCACTCTCACCTTTCCTCATTTGCCTATATTTCTTTGTGTAGGGTTGGGCTTTTCCCATCCACTTTGCCATGTCAATTGATATTGTGTTAGTCAGGGTTCTCTAGAGTCACAGAACTTATGGAATATCTCTCTATATTGATGGAATTTATTGTGATGACTTACAGTCTGTAGTTCAACTCTCCAGCAATGGTCAGCTATGAAATGGAAGTCCAAGAATCTAGTAGTTTTTCAGTCCCACTATGCTAGTTGTTTCAGCTGGTCTTCTGTAGAAGTAGATTCCAACAGATGTGGTGACAAGTGCAAGCAGGTGAAGAAGAATGAATTTTCCTTCTTCCAGTGTCCCTATGTAACCCTCCAGCAGAAGGTGTGGCCCAGATTAAAGGTATGTGACACCGTGCCTGGATCTGGGACTTGCTTTGTCCCAGGCTGACCTGGAACTCAGAGATCTGCTTGTCTCAATCTCCTGGGATTAAAGGTGTGTACTACCTTGCCTGGGCCTAAGCTTTTCATAGCCACTATGTCTCAAGATCTCCATGCCACAATCCAGGTCAGAAACTTGTGTCTTCCAGCCTCAAGATCTGGATCACAGGATTGTAGTTCATTCCAGATACAGTCAAGTTGACAATCAGAAATAGCCATTACAGATGTTGTACTTGTTTATCTCTCATTTGGGCAGTCATGTTGGTGAGATTTTGTGGATGTAGCATCTGACAATACTAGGAGATTATTGTCCATTTTACTTATTGTTGTGTCTTTAGTGTTTAGAAAAGTGCTTGATACACAGTAGACTTAGTATTTGGTGAATGAACCTTAGTACCTATATGCCTCCAGAGGGAATTTGAGTGACAGATGCAAGTAAAGATGAGCTTGCAGGTATTGCTGGGAACATGGACCATGCTCTATAAATGTTTGTAGGGTGAATAGAAATATTCACTAGATATATTACTTTAACATTTATATAGTGCCTCCTTTGTACAAAGCACTGGGAAAATATTCAAAGAAGTGAGAAGGAAGCTGCTGAATATGCACTCCGGTTTTACCTCTGTGTGACCATCAGCAGATCGTTCAGTCTTCACTTTACTTCCCTTATGTATTAAGTGGAGGTAATAACAGGACCTTATCATGTGGATTATGTAGGTTCATATACTTAAATTGTTTAGCATAGTACCTAGAACATGGGAAGCACCATATCAGTGATAGCTGCTATTATTATAGCTGTTAATTATTATGTGCTAGTTTTGTGCAACACTTTTCTTTAAAAACAACTTTATTGAGATAAAGTTCACATGCTATGAAACTGGGCGGGCACTTTCAAAAAGTACCATTTCATGGCTTTTAGTATACAAGAAATGTTGGGCTACTATCATCACAAGCTACTTTTAAAGATCTTATCCCCTCCAATAAAGTCCTATACACATTAGCAGACACTTCTACATTTCCACCCATACAGCTCTCCTCCGACTACTCTAATTTCCATGTCTGTAGATTTGTCTCTTTTGGGACTTCATATAAAAGGAATCATATAATATTTGTCTTTTGTGACTGGTTTATTTCACTTAGTATAAAGTTTTTAAGCTTCACCACACTTTTATACATATATTTTAATTTATTTTTGTTTTCAATACATTTTGACCACTTATGTATATCAGTGTTTTGCCTACATATATGTGATATGTACCATGTATGTGCCTGGTGCCCACAGAAGGTGTTGAATCCCCAGGAACTGAATTATGGATGATTGTGAGATGCCTTGTGGCTGCTGGGAATCAAACTCAGGTCCTCTGCAACAACAAGTGCTCTTAACTACTAAGCCATCTCTCCACCCAATATTTCAATTTTTGATTATACCACATTTTGTTTATCTATCCATCAATTGATTATTTGATTGTTACTACTATTTGGTTGTCATTATTATTATTTATAAGGCAACGATGAATACTCTATGGACTTTTGTATAGTTGTATAGTTGTACACTTTCATTCTTCTTAGATACCCAGAAGTAGAATTATTGGCTCTGTTTTTTAACCTTTTAAGGAATAGGCAGACTGTTTTACAAAGGAACAGCTCCATTTCACGTTCCTCTTGGCAATGAATAAGAGTTCCAATATCTCCACATTTGTGCTAACATTTTTTAAATTGTAAATCCCTTTGATTTTTGTCATTATAGAGGCAAAGATAGTATCTTATTGTGTATGTTTAAGAAACTGATGTTTAGGGGCTCAGAGGTTAGGAGCACTTGCTGCTCTTCCAGAGGACCCGAGTTCAGTTTCCAGCAACCACATCAGGTGGCTCACAGCCATCTGTAACTCCAGCTCCAGGGGGTCTGATGTTCACATGTAGCATATACTTACACACACACTAATAATAATAATAGTATTGATAATAACATAAATCTTTACAAAGAAAGTAGTGCTTTTCCATTAACCTTTATTTTCTGCCCGTGGAAGAATAGTTTAAGAACATTCACTCTGTAGCTGTTTCTATCAAGACAGTCCTGAGCAGTGGGAACTAAATGAAGTCCAGTACTCAGTGACTAGCCAAGCACACTGGAGAACTTCTGCATGGGCTCAGAAGGCATTTTCCATGCCTTCTAATCATTCTGGACCCAACCCCATGTCAGAAAGCTGGCTATTTCATTGTTCTTGAGCTATCTCCTTGGTTAGTCACAGCCTTCTCAGCACCTTTCAGTCTGCTGTTTCTGTTCAATCTCTTCAAGATCTCTGCCGAAGCACAGAATGTTTATCACTGGGAAAATCAGGGATGGGCTCAGAAAGAGGCATTTAACTTAAGGCTTCCTCCTCTTCTTCTTCCTCCTCCTCTTCCCCTTCTTCCTCTTTCTCCTTCTCCTTAAGGGTGTTTTGCCTGTACTTATGTCTGTGTACCACATGAGTGCCTGGTACTCTTGGAGGCCAGAAGAGTGTTTAAAATCCTTCTCGAACTGGAGTTACAGTTTGAGTTGTCATGTGGGTGCTAGAACTTGAACTCAGGTCCTCTGGAAGAGCAGTCAGTGCTCTTAACCTCTGAATCATCTCTCCA